CGGGCGCGGCGCTGCTGCGGCCTGGAGGTCCCCTCCCGACCTGCAGGCGGTCCCTGCCCCCGGGCCCAGAAGCCACACCAAAGTCCTTTCCCCTTTTCTCCACACCAAAGTCCTTTCCCCTTTTCTCCACTTAAAAAATAAGGTGTGTTATTCTGCGGTGGAAAACTTGGGACACACAGAAACGCCCTGGCAAGGACGTGACCTCCCCGCCCCGCCCCCCTTCATCCCATCATGCTGCGTTAGCGCAGGGACCCTGCCCCGACCCCGAGATGACCTTGTACAAGTCACCGTCCCCGCCAGGGGCCTGGCCGGCTCAGCAGGGGAGGCCCGGGCTGCCTTGGGTTCCAGCTGCTGGAAGCCCCTTACACCTTCCGCTTTGGGGGGATGCGGGCCAGGCCCATCAGGCTCCATCGCTACGGGTGGCCTCTGCCGGGATGCGGTCCCAGGCCCTCCAGGACCCCGGCCATCAGCCAGAGGAGCCGGTCCTGGTCAGATCTGCCTGTACCTCCCTGGCCCCCGCCCAGCAGTCCTGGGGTCAGCAGGAGGATACCTGTCAGGGTCCTCCCTCGGCTCAGGGCCTGGCTGGCCTCAGCTCCCCTTCTGGGAAGAGGGTGTGGAACCCAGCAACTCAGGTTGCAGCGAGTCCCTCTGTGCCCACCCGGGACTTCAGGGTGTGGTGGTCCCATCCCAGCCCAGCCCTGGGGCAGGGTTGAGCTAAAGGGTGTGAGACCACCCCAATCGCCGGGAGGTGGGGCAGGCAGTGGTCCCCTGCCTGGAGGAAGGGCCTGGACCAGCAGCTGCAGAACAGATGCTGATGCCGGGAGCTCCGCCCAGGAATGGCAGGAGAGGGGTGCGGGCTGCTCCCAGGGTGGCTGGCTCAGGACCAGAGCTCCAGTGGGAGCCCACCCTGCCCCTCCTGTGGCATGGGCTCAGTTTCCTGGCCTTGTGAACTGCCCTCCTGGGTTAGTGCTGTGGGGCTCCCAGCCCACGGTCTGCACCTGCTGGGCTGAGGCCTATGATGCTGTCGCAGCCCCTGGACGACCCTCCACACCCTCGAAGTGGCTTCACCCGGAGCTGGTCCCTGCCTGCCCCTGCAAAGACCCGGCCCAGGTCCCGGCTGGTGGGGCAACTTCCACACTCAAGCTGTGCCAGGCCCGGGAGTCAGGGTGGGCCAGGGAGCACTGTGGGGGCCTTGCAGAGCAGCTGCTTGGGACCCCAGGACCCAGAGCGGGTCAGGGATGGCAGCTGGGGAAGTGCCCGTGTATGATCAAGGCCTGGGGGAAGGCTGGGCAAGGTGACTCATTCCCGTAGTGCCAGCACCTTGGGAGGCTTGGTGGGAGGATCCACTGGGAGCTGTGACTACACTGAGCTGTGACTGCACCGCTGTACCCCAGCTTGGGCAACACAGCAAGACCCCGTCTCAAAAGAACAACAAAAGAGCTGGGGATGAACCAGAGCCGGCCAGGCGGAAACAGGCCGTGGCCCAAGTCCAGACAGGGCGCTGGGGAGCAGAACGAGGCAAGTCCCCAGCTTGGCATCACTGCCTCCTGCCGGGGTCACTCCTGGGCCCCGGCCGGCCACAGCCTCCCCCTCCTGGCTTCCTCCGAGGCCCTGCCCATGCTGGGCCCCCCTCCATGGCCCTGCCTTGGCATGTTCACCCCAGAGGGAGCCGCCGGCCCTTATCCTGCCAGAACTCCCACGCCGCACCACTTCTCTGCTTTCCTGTTTTTCATCTTGAGGAAATCTGCCGGAAACAGACACAGTGCCCAGGACGAGTCGTCTGAGGGGGCGGAACCCACCCGGGCCTGGAGGGCTCCCCCACCAGCCACGCCGCCTGTTCCAGGCCCCCCGGGACCCCACTGCCACCGGAGCTCTGGGCCCTTCCCTGACTGCTGGGAGTCCTCCCTCTGTAGCCCTGCCTGAGGTGGCCACCACTGGGTGGATGCCGGGGAAGCAGGAGGCCATGGCCGACCTCTCCAGAAAGAACCAGAAAAATGACCCCAGCTGCCTTGTCTTCATTGAGAGGCTGGTGGCCTCATTTAGGAAGGAGGCCCCTACTCATGGCAAGGGCAGAGCTGTAGCCCATGACCTCTGACGGGGGCCCTGACTTGGCCAGGTAGGGGTGTGGCCAGGCCCTCCCAGGAGGAGATTTGACCAGCGGGCATCCTCCCCCTGGCCACTGGTGGACAGGAGGCCACAAGGGCGCTTGGAGCCAGCAGTGGGGCCTCTCTGGGGGGAAACTGGCCCCCAAGCCTGGACCCTTCTGCCTTCAGCTGCACGTCAGGGATGTCTGAGCCCCTGCATGGGACAAGTCCCCTCTGCTGGCCCCTCCTGGACAGTGCCTGAGGGGCCTGAAATTTGCTAGGAGGCTGGGGAGAGGGTAGTGACACACAGCTGTTCCTGGCTGTCACCCTTGCAAGCCCAGCTTGGAGGCCTAGGTGGGGATGGCTCACCCAGCACCGTGAGCCAGCATGCTAGAGCCTGTGCCAGTAGGGAAACTGAGGCAGAGGGACTGAGGACGGCAGAGGGACCTGGAGCCCTCCCTAAAAGCCAGTTCCCAGACATCTGGGTCAGAGCTTTAGGAAGGGGCCAGGGACTGTGTGGTTACTTTTTTTTTTTTTTTTTTTTTTTATGACAGAGTCTTACTCTGTTGCCCCGGCTGGAGTCTAGTGGTGCAATCTCGGCTCACTGCAACCTCTGCCTCCTGGGTTCAAGCAATTCTCCTGCCTCAGCCTCCTGAGTAGCTGGGATTACAGGTGTGTGCCACCACACCCGGCTAATTTTTGGATTTTTCTAGATGGAGTTTTGCACTTGTTGCCCAGGCTGGAGTACAATGGCGTGATCTCAGCTCACCACAACCTCCACCTCTGGGGTTCAAACGATTCTCCTGCCTCAGCCTCCCGAGTAGCTGGAGTTACAGGCATGCACCACCACACCCAGCTAATTTTGTATTTTTGGTAGAGACGGCATGTCACCATGTTGCTCAGGCTGGTCTTGAATTCCCCACCTCAGGTGATCCACCTGCCTAGACTTCAGGTGACCCACTGCTGCCTCCCAAAGTGTTGGGATTACAGGCGTGAGCCACTGTGCCCGGCCTTAATTTTTTTTTTTTTTTTTTTGAGACGGAGTGTCGCTCTTGTTACCCAGGCTGGAGTGCAATGGCGCGATCTCGGCTCACCGCAACCTCTGCCTCCTGGGTTCAGGCAATTCTCCTGCCTCAGTCTCCTGAGTAGCTGGGACTACAGGCACACGCCACCATGCCCAGCTAATTTTTTGTATTTTTAGTAGAGACGGGGTTTCATCATGTTGACCAGGATGGTCTCGATCTCTTGATCTCGTGATCCACCCACCCCGGCCTCCCAAAGTGCTGGGATTATAGGCGTGAGCCACTGTGCCCAGCCCCGGCCTTAATTTTTAATTGTGGTAAAATATGCATAGCGTAAAATGTATCATCTTAACCCTGTCAAAGTGCAGTTTAGTGACACTAAATACATTCACCTTGTGTGGCGACCGCCTCCCTCTGTCCACACAGATCTCCGTCCCTCAAACTGAAGCTCTGTCCCCATCAAACACACACTGCCACCCCTCCCAGCCCCCGGCTCCCTCACTCTCCTTCCTGTCTCTGTGGTTTTGGTGACTGCAGGGACCTCGTGTAAGTAAGGTCCTGCAGGCTTTGTCCTTCGGTGACGGCTCGTGTCAGGAGCCTCTTGTCCCTGGGTTCCTCCCTGCTGTGGTGACTGTCAGGATCTCCTTGCTCCTCGGTGCCGTCATGCTCCGAGGTGTGGACAGACCGCCTCTACTTGTCCATCCCCCGCTGTGAACTCAAACACTGGCCACCGCTGGGCCGTTGTGAACATCAGTGTCTGAATCTACGTCTTTTTTTTTTTTTTTGAGACAGGATCTCACTTTGCCACCCAGGCTGGTGTGGTGTGCAATCGCAGCTCACTGCAGCTTCAACCTCCTGGGTTCAATCAGTCCTCCTGCCTCAGCCTCCCAAGTAGCTGGGACTACCGGTGCGAGTCACCATGCCCGGCTAATGCTGGTATTTTTAGTAGAGACAGGATTTCACTGTGTTGCCCAGGCTGGTTTCCAGCTCCTGGGCTCAAGCGATCCACCTGCCTTAGTCTCCCAGATAGCTGGGATTACAGGGTGAGCCACCATGCCCAGCTAATTTTTGTATTTTTGTAGAGACAGGATTTCACTATGTTGCCCAGGATGGTCTCAAACTCCTGGGCTCAAGCGATCCACCTGCCTCAGCCTCCCAGAGGGCTGGGATTACAGGTGTGAGTCTCTGCACCTTGGACCTGCGTCTCTTAAAGGCTTCCTGGATGTGGCTGGGTTGGGGTCCAGCCGCCCCCTGTTCTCCAAACCTGGTTCTCCCTGCTGGCCTGGTCCGGCTGGGACTTCCCAGAAGTCTGCATCACAGTGGGGATAATATGGGCAGCAGCGCTCCTGGTGGGCACTGCTCACCTGCCTTGTGCAGAGGTGACGGTTATGAAATGAGGTCAGGACAGGAAGGGTTCGTAAGAATGTCTTCACTCAGCAAAGGATCGGCCATCTGGTAGTCCCCTGGTTTTGACATTTATTTGTACCTGTCCATGACACTGAAAGGTCTGGGCAGTGGCTGCCCCCACCTCCATCCCTGCAGCCCCTGGTGTGTAACCCTGGAGAGGCAGAGCCGGGGCGGGGGGTGTCACTGAGCTGGGGGTGGTTCTAGAAGATGGGGGCACCAGCCAGCCAAGGTGGTGGCAGGCAAAGACTGGGGTGGACTCAGAGGCCCGTTCTGTGGGAAGTGGGGGTGAGAGCACCCCGAGTGTGGGTGCCCCGAGGGCACTCCTCACGCGGCCCTTCCCCCACAGGGCCGGCTCCCAGGCCTGAGGCTCAGGTGCGTCTTCCTGGCCTGGCTGGGTGTGTTTGCGGGCAGCTGGTTGGTGTACATGCGCTACTCATCCTACTCGGAGCTCTGTCGCGGTCACATCTGCCAGGCGGTCATTGTAAGTGTCGCTGTGTGGGCTGGGGACTGGGCCGTGCCCCTTGCTGCCCAAGATGCTGGGGCACCAGGCCCTGGAGACGCCTTCCTCCCCGGCCCAGGGCCCATGAGGTGTGTGGGTTTCCAGGTGGAATCTGCAAAGCTGCCTCTGGCTGGGTGTGGAGGACAGGGCCCAGGGTAGACATGGGGGGCTGCCTCCAGCTGGGGGAGGAGGATGGGGGAGACATGGGGGTAGCTGCTGGAGAGCAGGAGAGGCTGGGAGCTGGGGGCAGGCAGTAGGGCAGACTCTAGAAACGTTTGAGAGACAGGCTGTTTAGCAGGAAGCCTGGGGTGGGTGGGCAGCTGGCCTCAGTGGCCTTTCTAGCTCCCCTGGGACCAGGGGTCCCCAAGGCAGGTAGCAGGGCAGTGTCCTCCACAGCCTCCCGCTCAGGGAGTCCCGTGTCGTGTGTGAGCATGTGTGTATCTGGGAGCCAGTGTGGCCACGAGTCCACACCGAGGTGACCCCGCTCCTCTTTCCACGTCCTGTGACTAGCTGGAGGGGAGCTCCAGCTCCGTCTTCCTGGCAGACCCTGGACTCGCCCAGAGCTAGGCAGGTCCCCCAGGCCATTTTGACCCCAGCCTGGCCGATGACCAGGGTTCCAAGGCTCCGCTCCCTTTGGGGCTGGGCCCGGGCAGAGAAGGACCTGCCGTGTAGCAGCAACTGCTGTGAGTCATGGAAGGGGATATTGGGCGCAGGGAGACCCCAGGTTCAACGCTGCCTCCGTCAGATGGGGAGGGGCCTCTCCTGCAGCTGGGTGGTGGATGAAGCCACCAGGTGGCCGTGGGCAAACCTGTGCCCCACAGAGCTGTGTATGACAGGGGCCACATGTGGAGGCCCAGAGGTGGCAGGGTGGAGTGGGGTATGGGGTCTTCTGTGCCCGGGACTTGTTTGGAGCCCATGCCAGCCCACGGGAGGGCTCCAGGCCCCTGGCACCAGGCCTTGCTCACCCTCAAAGTCCAGGGGGCCTCTAGGCTCAGTGTGGCACGGGGGTGGTACATTGGGCTTATCCTGGGGCCATGGGTGGGGAAGGCTGCGCCCCGAGTCGTGCACCCTGGAGACTCCTGAAAGGACAGGAGGTGGAGGGGCTGGACCTCCAGGCCGGGGTAGGGGGGAGCGGCAGGTGGGAGTGGGCAGAGGATTCACATTGCCAGGTGGGTTCTGAGTATCCACCTACGGGGTGCCTGGCTGCGGAGGCTGCGGAGGAGCAGAAGGTGTCCCCCAAACAAGAGGAAGCTGCAGCCTCAGTTTCCCAGGGCGCCCTGGCCCTTCGCACAGCGGTGTCTACACAGCTGCTCACTGCCTTCCCAGAGGTCAGGCCAAGCCCAGCTCTCCCAAAGCCACCTCAGGGCCATGGAGACATCCCCTCCTTTCCAGAGGAGGCTACTGCCTCGCCTCGTGGGGGCACTGGATGCCTCAGAGAGGCGCAGAGGCTGGCGCTAGGTGGGGCCACTCCCGGGTCCCCCCAGGGCCCTCAAGGGGCCAAGAACTGCAGAGTCCCACCGGGCCCTGCTGCAGACGGGAGACAGGCTGGGCAACAAGGGACTGGCTGGGGACCGAGGTGCATGGTGGGGGTGCCCGAGGAGGCCAAGAATACCCCCTACCCCGCCTCAGCCTTTGAGGAAGCCCCTTCCCACCCTGCCAGGTGCAGGCAGGCACCCAGGACCGAGGGACAGCCCCATCTCCCCACCCCTGGGGGACCCCGGAGCCCCAGCCCCAGCCTGGCCAAGGGCAGCGTGTGCCAGGAGCAGGGTCTCCTGCAGGTCTGGGGCTCCGGGCGCAGGGGGCTGGTCTGGTGATGGGACGACCTTCCCGTGAAGGGTGGGCCTGCAAGGCGGAGGGCTGGGCCAGCGCACATTCCCTTCATCCTCCTCTTCCGTCTGGATGAAGAGACGGCGTTTCCGTGCTGCTGGCACAGATGCTGCCTTCACGACTCACGTGGGGGGGGTCCTCGGCCTCCAGTGGGCCCATCTCACTTCTGTCCCCATCCCTGGTGTACTGGGCGTGGGGTGTGGGGGGTTTGGGAGGCGGGGGAGGCAGGGGACCTTCCATCCTCTCCAGCCCTGGAGGGTGGGATGTTCTGAAGCTCCCTTCCCGGCTCCCTCCGAGCCTGCTCTGCCAGGCTCCATGGCAACAGAGGCTGTACATCCAGAAATTCTCCCCCCACACAGAGGGGTGGGCCAGCTCCGTGCTCTGTCACCTCCCATGAGGCGCTGGGATTCAGGGGCTGCCGGGCTCCCAGAGCTGGGCTGGGGACTGAGGAGGGGTAGCAGCCAGCCCCAGGCCTGATTTAATCACCACTAAGAGTGTCTCCCTGGGGGTCTGGCTAAGGAGGGGGCCTGTGGGACCGGGAAGGGCAGGCCGGGGAGTCACTGTGGGGCCCCGGGGGTCCGTTTCTAAGTCTTGACAAACAGTTCTGACAACAGCGGTAGCGTTGAGCCGGGGCACTGGCCACGTGGGGCTGGGAGAGGAGGCGGAGGTCAGGGCTCCGTTGCCCGTTCGGTCCATTCATCAGGACAGAAAACAAGTTCAGAGATTCCTCGCTGACTGACCCGGGCAGACAGGGCGTCCCCCGAGGGGAAGGAGAGTCAGGCAGGGAGAGCGCACGTCGCAGCTGGTGGTGTAGACACGGGACACGGTGCATCTAGCTCACCAGCCAACGCCTGGATGGTCCAGAGAGCCGGACTGCTGGCGGGAGAGCTGCCTCCCACCCTGGCCCAGCTTGGCCACTGGGTGTGGTGTCGTCTCACGTTCAGGCCGTGGCCTTGGCTGTGCTGTCGTTACAGGATCCAGGACGGTGGGGACGGGACGGGACCGGACCGGGGGTCGGCGGGGCTGCCCCTGAAGCCAACAGGCCCACCCCGCAGCCGCCGACGGCATGAGCCAGGGCCCAGCAGTGGCTGTGCGAGGGGCCGGCAGCCTGCCAACTGCAGCAAGTGGAGGCCCCTGCCAGCGGGAGGGTGCCAGGCCCGCAGCGTGGCTCAGGGATGGGCGTGGGCTGGAGGCAGCCCAGTCACCAGCTCTGGCAGTTTGGGGGGGGTCTAAGAAAAGATGTCCGAAGAACAGGGACCCAGTGGGTGCTGAGACAGTGACCACGGTGATGGGGGCTTGGCCCTCCATGCCTGTCCCCTCAGTGGGGAGGGGCTCAGCAGGGCGGAGGTATGACCGCCCCCGCTCACACACACACACCCTGCACCTGTCCCCTCAGTGTGACCAGTACCACAAGGGCATCATCTCGGGCTCCATCTGCCAGGACCTCTGTGAGCTGCGTCTGGTGGAGTGGAGGACCTGCCTCTCAGCGGCCCCCGGCCAGCAGGTATGGCCTCGGGCGGGGAAGGGGCCTGGGGCTGACGCGCCCGTGTAGGGGGCAGGGGATGTCTGCACGGAGGTCCTGTGGCCCTGTCCAGGTCTACAGCGGGCTCTGGCGAGACAAGGATGTGACCATCAAGTGTGGCATCGAGGAGGCGCTGGACTCCAAGGCCCAGTCGGACGCAGCCCCCCGGCGGGAGCTGGTGCTGTTCGACAAGCCCACCCGGGGCACCTCCATCAAGGAGTTTCGGGAGATGACCCTCAGCTTCCTCAAGGTCAGGCAGCTCTCCTGGGGGGCTGGGCAGGAATCCATGCCAGGGCATGTGCCCAGCAGGTGGCCCTGGCACCAACATGCCCAGTGCAAAGGCATAGATGGGTCAAGTGGGTCCCAGGCAGACCTTCCAGCCCCCAGCCCCTGGGCAGGGGCCCTGCCAAGGAAGGAGCCTCTCCAGGGCTGGGGGCAGGGGTAGGGGTGACCGGCAGGCTGGCAGTTGAGGCCCTGAGGTCAAGAGGAGGCTCCCGCAGTCCAGGGCCACAGGTCCAGCACAGCAGGTGCCCCCAGTAGAGACCAGGGCGTGCGGAGAGGAGCTGCCTCCCCGGGCTTCAGCCAGTGCGTGCACTCAGCGGCCGATTCTCATCCTGGGAAGCTCTGAGGCTTCTCTCCCCAAGTGCCCAACCCCAAGCACCCCAGCTGCACCCAAGGCTGCCGGGAGGCAGGGAGGTCTGTCTGGCAGCCGCAGCACGGGCCAGAGGGTTAGTGGGCACATTGCTGCCTCACCCGTGTGGCTGCAGGCTGGGACCCATGACCTGGCGGATGTGCTGGTCTGGCCCGAAACCCGCTCTGCCGGGAGGACTGGGTCAAGGCCGGGTCACGCTCCCAGACACCAAGTCAACTGGGTTTTCCTCTCTTTTGGTCCCAAATGCCAGGCGAACCTGGGCGACCTGCCTTCCCTGCCGGCGCTGGTGGGCCAGGTCCTGCTCATGGCCGACTTCAACAAGGACAACCGGGTGTCACTGGCGGAAGCCAAGTCCGTGTGGGCCCTGCTGCAGCGTAACGAGTTCCTGCTGCTGCTGTCCCTGCAGGAGAAGGAGCACGCCTCCCGACTGCTGGGCTACTGCGGGGACCTCTACCTCACCGAGGGCGTGCCCCACGGCGCCTGGCACGCGGCCACCCTGCCCCCCCTGCTGCGCCCGCTGCTGCCGCCGGCCCTGCAGAGTGCCCTCCAGCAGTGGTTGGGGCCTGCGTGGCCGTGGCGGGCCAAGATCGCCATCGGCCTGCTGGAGTTCGTGGAGGAGCTCTTTCACGGCGCCTATGGGACCTTCTACATGTGCGAGACCACGCTGGCCAACGTGGGCTATACGGCCACCTACGACTTCAAGATGGCCGACCTGCAGCAGGTGGCCCCCGAGGCCGCCGTGCGCCGTTTCCTGCAGGGCCGCCGCTGCGAGCACAGCGCCGACTGCACCTACGGGCGCGACTGCAGGGCCCCGTGCGACAGGCTCATGCGGCAGTGCAAGGGTGACCTCATCCAGCCCAACCTGGCCAAGGTGTGTGCGCTGCTGCGGGGCTACCTGCTGCCGGGCGCGCCCGCGGACCTCCGTGAGGAGCTGGGCACGCAGCTGCGCACCTGCACCACGCTGAGCGGGCTGGCCAGCCAGGTGGAGGCCCATCACTCGCTGGTGCTCAGCCACCTCAAGACCCTGCTCTGGAAGAAGATCTCCAACACGAAGTACTCCTGACGCGGCCGCAGGGGCCCTGGCCACCCTTCCTGGAGGCGGCCTGGGGCCTGGGTGCTGGGCTCCAGCCCTGCCTCTAGGAATCGGTTGGAAATGTTAAATGCTGTTGCAGAATCACGCCCCTAAGGTCAGGGCCCTGGACCCCACACCAGACATGAGGTCATCCTAACTCAGAGCGGAGGGAGGAGGCCCTGGAAGGGGTTTGTTACTCTGAAGAACATGATGTAAATAAACAGCTTTTATGTAATGCCCAGGGCTGACCACCCTGAGCCCCATCGACGCTGCGCGTGGGACCCTTTGCCCCACTGTGGATACCACCTGGCCCAGGCACCCAGGCTGGGGTTGGGTCCCTGAATCCTGGGGAGGCGGCCCTCTGGTGTCAGTCAAAGGTGAGGTCTATTCTAGAGCCCCTGCCTGCCCTACACTGCTGAAGGTGCCAGGGCAGTTCCCCAAAAAGGAGCTTCTGAAGGAACCAACGACCAGGACGCCAAACCTGGACCATGGCACAACAGGCCAAGAAAAAGGCGTTCTAGTGAAACAGACTGATGCAGCGAAAACACCTTACAAAATCCAGCCGTGAGATGTAGAACTCACTCCCTAGGAAACCACCTTGGAATGTCCGTCTTCTCTGGCCCTGTGCTCTCCCCAGTAGCCCAGGGAACCCAGCAACCATCCCCCAGTGGGACAGGCAAGGACCCGGGCGGGAAGACCCCAACGCAGGAACACCGCTCAGTGCCGGCTCTGCTCCACAGTGGACGAGTCAAGACAACCCATTCCGTCCCAGCCCCTTTTATTCTCAAATTTTGCCAACACAGAAATATTACCCTTGAAGAAATGTGCATTAAATCTTTAATTCACTTCATCCTGTAATTTAAACTCAATGTTTTCCATATAGATTTTTCCCCCTTGGGGGAAAAGCAACAAAAACAAGATGACTCAAATACAGTAAAAAAAATAACTGAGGATCTCAGATTCCAGGTGGTTCAAAAATAACCAGATGGTTCTTTTTTTCCACCAGAATACCACAATGGCAGAACTTAAGAATCGGGATACTAAAATGGGGGGGTGGTCCCGGCAGCTGCCCCGGCCAGCTGGAACACACACCACTACCCAGGCAGAGGCGGCGGGCGTCCGATCCCAGCCTGCCCTTCCCAGGAATGAACGCAGAGCAAGAGCTGCAACTGTGGCCCTGGGGGCAGGGGGGCGTGTGAAAGCTGGGCTCTGAGGCTGCAAACACCCGGGTGCCGGTGGTCCCAGAGGGAGCGAGGCCTTTACCTCCATTCCAGCCAGCCTCCTGGCACGGCTGCGCCCACATCCTGGCCTCTGCACAGTGCTGCAAACCGGGTTTCTTTAACCTGGATTCACCGAATGACCTTCAGGGAACACAATTTATGAATTCCCTAAACTTTTTTTTTTGAGACAGAGTCTTGCTATGTTGGCCCAGGCTGGAGTGCAGTGGTGTGATCTCAGCTCACTGCAACCTCCACCTCCTGGGTTCAAGCGATTCTCCTGCCTCAGTCTCCCAAGTCTAGGATTACAGGCACACACCACCACAGCCGGCTACCTTCTGTGTTTTTAGTAGAGATGAGGTCTGAGGCTGTTGGCCAGGCTGGTCTCCAACTCCTGACCTCAGACGATCCGCCTGCTTCTACCTCCCAAAGTGGTATGATCTTTCCTGATGCGACCTCATAGCAGAAGTCCGACACAGGCACTGCTGACTTAGGGCACTCTTCACAGCGGGGCACCCCAAGCATTGCAGGACATGCAGCTGCACCCCCTACTCCCACCCATTTGGGGAAGAGGAATCCTGTTTCCAAAGTGACCCAGAGACACCTCCAGGCAAGGCAGCTCCTGACCCGTAGCCAGGGCCCCTGCTTTGTGCACAGGAATTGCACCCCCCATTAGTACACAGGGCACAGCTTGTCCGTCCCAGCTCAGCTGGTCTTGGTCACACTTGCCCAAGGCCTCCCAGACAGACCTACGGAACCGTTTCCAGAACGCAGCCCGGGAGTGGATCCACACTCACACCTCGTTTATACGTATCTATGTCTCAGGGTTCCCGGCAATGCTGCCGCCCCTCCCTTGTGGAGCAAACCAGGTAAGGTGGTTTCCAAAGCGAAAACCCAAACGCACCTGGCTTTGGCTTTGGCTTTGAGTAATGTCAGGCTATAAACCATTCCCAGTGCTCACTGGCCCCGGAACACTGAGTGTAGAAATCGCCACTTTCTCTCTGCCCCGACGTCACGGGCACAGCAGAGCAACTGTCTGCAGTGCCGGCAGGTCCAGGACAGCATCGAAGGGCAGCCGCTCACACCCACCCGGCAGCCAGGGAGGGCCAGCCTCAGCCTTGCCTCTTACCTTGATCCGGGCTGGGGCCGGCTGGCGTCATCATTCTGGCAACTGCTCACACTGGAAGTCCATCACAGGCTAAGTCACCTCCTTCCTGTGTTAAATAACAAGAATGCTTGGCACAGAATCAACACAATAAGAGGCTGCTGTTACCGCTATTAACTGAAACAGCAACCCCTTCCCCGTCCCATCCACTGTGATCCTGACACGGTGTGTGGCATGGCAGGTGGATCACGAGGTCAGGAGTTCAAGACCAGCCTGGCCCAGATGGGGAAACCCCACCTCTACTAAAAGTACCAAAAATCAGCCAGGCATGGCAGCACATGCTACTGGCAATCCCAGCTACTCAGGGGGCTGAGGTGGAGAATTGCTTAAACCCGGGAGGCAGAAGTTGCAGTGAGCTGAGATTGCACCACTGCACTCCAGCCTGGGCGACAGACTCAGTCTCAAAAAAGAATGAGAAAAAAACAAAACAAAACACCAACTCACTAATGAAGGCTGCTCCTGGTGAGGGCACCCTCTACCTTCCCACTGTCCCTTCAGACCTCTAGCGACCGGCGCGGCCAACATGGCACGGCATGAGAGTGAGAAAGCCCACTCACAAGACCCAGCCTCTCCCCGATGCCAGTGCAGGAAAACAGATGCCCAGTCCACAAATCAGGAGTGTCAGACTATGAAACATTCAAACGTTCACGGGGCAGAACGCTGACCGTAGACATAGCCTCTCTAATCTCTGCCACCTGTTGACACATATGTGACACAGCAGCCACATCTGCAACGCCTCTAGGGGCAGCATCAAGCAGAAGATGAAATGATTTAATTCCCCTGGAGAGACAGCTTCTAGCAGCAATGTGAACACAAGACCCACCGGTCCCGCCAGTCACAGATGTCACATAGCAGGGCTTAGTTACACAGGGCAGGAGGCGCGGCGGTTACAGGGGGTTACCCTGGTCCAGCACCAACTTACCCAACATGGCAGGGCACCTCGAACATGTGTTTCCAGTGAGCAGATGTCCTAGAGAAAAAGAAATTCCAATTTTGTACAAATCTTGCAAACACCACAGAGGGACATCATACAAAGACTGTTTTTTGGGAGGCCGAGGCAGGCGGATCACTTGAGGTCAAGAGTTCAAAACTAGCCTGGCCAACGTGGTGAAACCCCGTCTCTGCTAAAAATTTAAAAAAAAAAAAAAAAAAAAAAAATTAGCCATCGTGATGGCCGGCGCCTGTAATCTCAGCTACTCGAGAGACTGGGGCAGGAAACTCGCTTGAACCCGGGAGGCAGAGGTTGTAGAGATCCCACCATTGCACTCCAGCCTGGGCGACAGAGCAAAACTCCGTCTCAAAAAAAAAAAAGATTTGCTGCATCTGAACTCCAGGAGGAAGGCGGACCAAAGGTCCCTACCACCAACAGCTCGCTGACTTAAGTGCCATTCTAGAAAAATCCGACTCATGTTACTCCCTCCGCTTACTCTCTGCTTAACCTGCAGGAGGGGAAGTTGAGTCACAACAGTGGCCACGGAACGCTGGTCCCCTGCAGGTGTCCAGGGACCAGGACCACGAGGCGGATGCCCACCACGGCACGCACCTGTCCTGTAAGTCTTTGGTCCGGCAGTCACCGGACTCCTCCCGCTGGGCGGCCAGTCGCACGGAAACAGCCGACGCGTGGACACAGCACGAGAAACCCATTTCTCGAAGATGCCGACACACGAGGTGACGTCCCCAAAGCCTCCGCGACTCGGGGACGCAGCAGCAGGGGCGGAAGGGGCACGGGAGAGCGGGGCGCTTTCTTCTCAGGTCCGAATTCGCGCACTCGGCTCTCACCAGGCTTCCCGAAGCTTCCCGGCTGGAAACGGCGCGGGGAGGGACACAGCCCGGGCCCGCATCCCGCGGCTCACGCGGCCAGGACGCCCCGGGTCAGCGCCCGACCCCGCCTCGCACCTGGAGCCCCCACCCGGCAGCGGAGGCCCTCAGACCGCGCCGCGCCCGGGAGAGCGGGGTTGCAGGGCGGTAGCCGGGGAGCGGGCTGGGAAGCGCCCGGGAGAAGGAGGCGAGGAAGGCACCCGCCATGGCCGAGGCCGGCGCGCGCAGAGATCAAGGGAGGGCGCGCCGCGCCTTTTATAGCGCTTACGGCGGCCCGTGAGGGTCAAGCCTCCCTGCCGCGCCCGCCCGAGCCGCCGCGCCCCCCGCTCTCGCCGCGCCCTCCGCTCCCCGGACCCCCGTGCCTCCCGCTCTCCCCGCGCCCCCCGCTCCCTGGACCCCCGTGCCCCCCGCTCCCCGGACCCCCGCGCCCCCCGCCCTCCCTGCGCCCCCCGCTCCCCGTGCCCGCGGGCGGGCGCAGCTCCCTGGCTGGCGAGTGGCGCGTGGGTTCGCCACGCAGAGCAGCGGCAGCGTCGTGACTCGTGTCCTCCTCCTCGACCGTCCCACGGAGCGCGCAGCGGGGGCTGCGCGGTCTCCAACCCGCGGGGGGCCGGGCACCCGGTGGACATGCGCGGCTCCCCGTCTTGGCGGCGGCTTCCCAGGCTGGGTCGGGAGGACGCTTCGGGAGCGCGTGGATCCCAGAGGTGTGACCCCGGCTCTGCAGGCGGCGCTGCAGCTATGCGTCCTCGGAACCTGGCGCCGGCTGGAGGGCTGGCCCGGGAACTGGGTCGGACCCCGGAACCGGTTCTGGGGCCTGAGCCGTCACCCGGTGGCACAGATTTGGGGACGGAGCCGCCTGTCTCTGCGGCAGGTGGCGGGGCGGCCGGGCCGCTGCCTGGAGGTCCCAGCGGTGCTGGCTGCGGCTGTCGCTGCTGAGCTCCTGCAGGAACGGCCTGGCCGGGCCGCGGTGCTGAGGCTGCTCCCGAACCTGATGCTGGTATGTGGCCCTAGCCGTGCCAGTGGTTTCAGATCTGGTCCTGGCTAGAGGGTGCCGGAGCCGTACTGGAGCCGACACAGAGGTGGCGAGGCCTGCCCTGTCTCTGGATGTGCTGCCGGAGCTGGTGATGGAGCTGCCTCTGATCCTGTAACTAGCACGGGAGCTGGTGGGAGAGCTGGTGCGGGAGTTGGCTCTGGCTCTGCAGCTGGTGAAAGCTCTCACTGTGAAGAGAGTGCCAGAGACGTCTGCACCTTCAGAGTTAGGGAGTCTACTGCACCCCGTCCCAGCCCCTGCCCCGTGCTGAGGAACAGATCTACCAAGCACTTACTGAAACTGGTGTGCACAGCCCCCGGGGCAGGCCATAACCTATTGAGACCCAGGAGAGGACCTGAGCCCCAGCACCCTGGAGAGGAGCTGCCCCAGGACAGTGGGGCACTTAGAAGGTGGACACCTCATGTCCGCTGCCCTGGGTTACAGGATGGAGGTCAGAGGTTAAGTGTGCAGCTCTGGTGTGCAGAAGGTCAGCCCCGGTAGGCTCAGTGGCCCACGCCTGTGATCCCAACACTTTGGAAGGCCGAGGCGGGTGGATCATCTGAGGTCAGGAGTCCTCATAGCCTCATCAAAGGCCACACCTCTCCATAACGTTCACATTAGCAATGTCTGAATTTTGGAGAGGATACGTTCAAACCACATTCCCATTCAAAACAAAATTAAAGCCCATTCGGCACGGTGGCCCAGCGCCTCATGGGACACCTCCTGGGACACAGCCGGGTTTGGCCTTTGAGCCTCTAGAACGAGAATGAGCTTCCAATGCCCTCGCCCCCAGTTTGCAGTGCTGGGGCAGCCCAGGACCTCCTGCCGCGAGGGTCATTCACGGCGCTGGCCTGATCTGCAGCTGCAGACACACTCGGCCTGACCCCACGGGCCACCTGGTTTTCGTCACCTGGAGGTCAGCTCTTAGAAACTGTGAGGGCTTTTGCTTAACAGAAAGGAGAAAGACAACCTAGTCAGATGCAGTGAAAACCGGTCAGCCCGACCTGGTGACTCTGGGTGTGAAACGCCTCCCATGAGACCCGCAGGTGCCAAGCCCCATGCCGGAACCTTTGCAACTGGCCGACTCTGACCCAAATTGTGGGCCCCCCCCGCAAGAACCCCAGGCCACTCCCTGCACGTTTTTGCCCCAACCTGGACCTCAAAGGCCCAGTGGAGTGACCACTGTAATTCCAGGACAGAACCGAACAGGGCCTGGGAGGCGGGAGGGGTGTCCAGGAGCACTGACCAGCCCCATCAGCTCAGCTGCAGCCTGTGGGCTCCCTGGGGGAGGCTCATCTGTGGCAGACACACCTGTGCGCTCCCCTGGATTTTTTTGTTTTGTTTGAGACAGTCTCGCTCTGTCGCCCAGGCTGGAGTGCAGCGGCACAATCTCAGTTCACTGCAGCCTCCACCTCTCCAGTTCAAGCGATTCTCCTGCCTCAGCCTCCCGAGTACCTGGGATTACAGGTGCCTGCCACCATGCCCGGCTAATTTTTGTATTTTTAGTAGAGACGAGGTTTCATTTTGTTGGCCAGGCTGGTCTCGACCTCCTGACCTCAGGTGATCTGCCTGCCTCAGCCTCCCTCCCAAGTTCTGTGATGACCGGCGTGAGCCGCCGCGCCCGGCCTCCCCGGATTCTTGATCTCACCTTCCTCCAGAGAGAACCCTGGCCGGGCCGCTGCCTCTGAAATGGGGTCAGGGGAATGGTGTTGTCCAGAAACAGCTGCGGCTGTGGTGTCTCCAGTACCATGGCATGAGCCTGACCCACAGGCTGCGTGTGGTGAAAAGCCGTCATAGACCACACGGGCTCTGCCAGGGTTGGCGGCTGGCACCCACAGAACAGCGAGCAACTGTGACCCAGCAGCCGGAGGGCTGTGGAGGGGGTGCGTGGCTGTGTGGTGTGTACGTGTCTAACCCTGTCTGCTGCCCTCCCTCCCTGCCCGTGGGACACCAAGTGGCCCCTCTCCCTGTTCTCCTGGCTCCTTCCCTTCCTGCCTCCTCTCCAACGACAGGATTGAGACTGCAGGGTCCAGCCCCACAGGGTCTAGGGGGTGCTCTTTTGTGTGCAGAGACAGTAGATCACAGGAAAGAAAGACACAAGACACAGAGATAGAAGAATTCAGCTGGGCTGGGAGCCACTGCCACCAAGGGGTGGAGTCCAGCAGTGGCCCCGAATGCCTGGATATTTATTGTACACAAGGCAGGGGGCAGGGCCGGAGAGTGACTCATCTGACATGATCGGTAGGGGTCAAGCAAGTCACGTTCTTACAATACAGGGCTGGGGGGGGCACGTGGGTACAGTTTAGGGGGTCACGTGGGTACAGTGCAGGGGGTCACAGGGGTGCAGTGCAGAGGGCCCCTCCCTCTCAGGCAGCCGCTGCAAGGAGGGGAGGCAAATACGTCAGTCGTGTGCTTATCAGAGAGATCAGAGGCTTTTAGTGTTCCTCTATTCTTACTTCTCACAGCCTCTAAGAATTTACAAGGGAGCAGCGGGTGGGAAAGTGGAACCCGAAAGTGGACGAGGATGGTGACCGTCAGAGCACCGCGCCACGGAGAGGTGTGTGAGCCCCTGGATGTCTGCGGCCGGCCTGGCTAGTGTCAGGCTTTCCTCGAGAGCCGGCTGGAGCAGAGTGTTCTCTGAACTCCCCAGTGAAAGGGGAACTCCCCTAAGGCCTGCTAAGTAATGGGCGTCTCCGCAGGCACTGGTGCTACCGCAAGGCTCTCACTCTTGTCTCCTGATCAGTCCTCACAATGTCCCTTCAGTTCCTAATTATATTTCACCCAATCATTTTTATAAGACTAAAAATGTTGCTACATGATAATACTAAAGCAAAGGTTAATAATAGAGAGTAATGATGTAATAAGATTGAGTACATAATTGATTTTGTGATTGTATCTAAATCTCACTGGTGTTATTGCTCTAACTAATCAGTTATTTATTATGCTGGGACAGATTGTGCCTTCAGTCTCTTGCCATGGCACGTGGGTGACTTTCTTCCCACAAGGAACAGCGGCTTCCCTGAGCTTAGGGAAGGGGGACACAGAGCCCAAGGTCCCCAGGACAGAGCAGTCACCCTCACCCTGGCCAGTGCGTTCGGAGGCCCACACTCAGGGTTCTCCAGGTCAGACTGCAGAATGGGGTTCCTGCTGGGCTCCCATCCTGCCTCTGCATCCAGCCCACATGAGGGAGCAGAGACACCGGAGGGGGACTGGGCCTCAGGCCCCCCTCTCCATGGTTGTGCCTTGGCCTGGGATTCTGGAAGAGGTGGTCAGGTCTCTGCCACTCTTTAATTTTTTTGAGACAGGGTCTGCTCTGCCACCCAGGCTGGAGTGCAGTGGTGCAATTAGGTCACTGCAGCCTGGACCTCCTGGGCTTCAGCCATCCTTCCACCTCAGCCTCCCGGGGAGCAGCCGCCACAGATGCGTGCACCACACCTGCTACATTTAAAGTTTCTTTCTTTCTTTTTTTTTTTAGACGGAGTCTCTCTCTGTCACCCAGGCTGGAGTGCAGTGGCATGATCTCAGCTCACTGCAACCTCTGCCTCCCGGGTTCAAGCAATTCTCCCACCTCAGCCTCAGGAGCAGCTGGGATTACAGGCACCTGCCACCATACCTGGCTAATTTTTTGTATTTTTCATAGAGACGGGTTTCCCCATGTTGGCCAGGCTGGTCTTGAACTCCTGATTTCAAGTGATCCACCTGTCTCAGCCTGCCAAAGTGCTGGGATTACAGGCATGAGCTACCACGCCTGGCCCTTTAGTGTCCTTTTAATGTCTGTGGAATCAGCAGTGACGTCTCATCCTCTCCTTCCTTTTTTTTTTTTTTTTTTTTTTTTTTTCTTAATTTTTAAGTTGGAGACTCACTCTGTTGCCCAGGCTGGAGTGCAGTGGTGCAATCTCAGCTCACTATAGCCTCCACCTCTCAGGTTCAAGTGATTCTCCTGCCTCAGCCTCCTGAGTAGTTGGGATTACAGGCACCTGCCCCCACGCCCAGCTAATTTTCCTATTTTTAGTAGAGATGGGGTTTCCCCATGTTGACCAGGATGGTCTCAATCTCTTGACCTCATGATTCACTCTCCTTGGCCTCCCAAATTGCTGGGATTGCAGGTGTGAGCCACCGCACCCAGTCTCAGCAAAGCAATTTTTACTTCCTGTAGGAAGGGTACCCTCACCAGCCACCTTGCCATGAGAGTACGACGAACAAAGGAAAAGCAGACATGTTTATCCCTTACGCATTTGGGGTCGTCCTTACTGCTGTGTCTGATCTCCATTGGTTGGAGCCGGACCCCACAATTTAAACTCAAACCCACTTGGCTAACAACTTAAAACTTTTCTAAACAGGTAAAAGCAGTGGAGAACAAACAGGAAGTCCAGAGAAGCAAGGGGCGCAGGCTGCGAGCTGGGACACGCCTGTGAGCACATCGGGCACGGGCATCTTGGCTAAAGCACAAGGACAGAGTGTACTATGTGCCTGTGAGCGTGTCTGACAGCCACAGAGGATAGGGCTTAACAAAGAGTTATTGGCAAAAAGCAAGAAGGATTTATTCTTTAACAAGAAAGGAAACTTTCAGAAGAACTTTCTGCTTCCCACAGCCCCTGACACAGTGTGCACGCAGACTGACTGCATTTACATGAGACTCCAGGAAATGGAAGTCGATCTGATAACAGAAAGACCGTCAGTGGGCTCAGCGGCTCCTTGGGCTGGGGTCGTGGATGTGCTTTTTTGTTTTTGTTTTTGTTTTTGTTTTGAGACAGAGTCTTGCTCGTATCACCCAGGCTGGAGGGCAATGGCTTGATCTCAGCTCACTGCAGCCTCTGCCTCCCGGGCTCCAGTGATTCTCCTGCCTCAGCCTCCCAAGAAGCCGGTATTACAGGCGCCTGCCACCACGCCTGGCTAAAAAATACAAAAATGTTTGTATTCTTAGTAGAGACGAGGTTTCACCATGTCGGCCAGGATGGTTTTGATCTTGTGATCCACCCGCCTTGGCCTCCCAAAGTTCTGGGATTATAGGCATGAGTCACCTTACCTGGCAGAAACCTCGTATCTATTTTTTTTAATACAAAAAAAAAAAATGAGCTGGGCGTGGTGGCACATGCCTGTAGTCCCAGCTACTTGGGAGGCTGAGGCAGGAGAATCACTGGAACCCAGGACGCAGAGGTTGCAGTGAGCTGAGATCGTGTCACTGCACTCCAGCCTGGCAACGGAGTGAGACTTTGCCTAAAATATGTAGATAGATAGATAGATAGATAGATAGATAGATAGATATGGAGTTTCACCATGTTGGTCAGGCTAGTCTCGAACCCCTGACTTCAAGTGATCCACCTGCTTCGGCCTCCCAAAGCAAAGTGCTGCGATTGTAGGCATGAGCCACTGCGCCCAGCCCTGTGTGTGTGTGTGTGTGTGTGTGTGTGTGTATATATAGAGAGAGAGATGGGGCGGAGAGGGAGGGAGGGAGGAAAACAGGATCTCACTCTGTTGCCCAGGCTGGAGTGCAGTGGCACAGTCCTGGCTTGATCAACCTCCCAGTCTCAAGCAATCCTCCCACCTCGGCTTCCTGAGTAGATGGGACTACAGGCGCCCACTACCACGCTCAGCTAATTTTTGTAATCTTTGTATTTTTTGTAGAGATAAGGTCTCGCCATGTTACCAGGGCTCCAAACTACTTTTTTTTTTTTTTTTTTTTTTTTTTTTTGAGAGTCTCGCACTGTCGCCTGGGCTGGAGTGCAGTGGCGTGATCTCAGCTCACTGCAACTTCTGCCTCCCAGGTTCAAGCGATTCTCCTGCCTCAGCCTCCTGAGTAGCTGGGATTAGAGGAGTCCTGCCACCACACCTGGCTAATTTTTTTTTTTTTTAAGACGGGGTTTCAACGTGTTGGTCAGGCTGGTCTTGAACTCCCGACCTCAGGTGATCCGCCCACCTTGGCCTCCAAAGTGCTTGGATTACAAGCGTGAGCCACCGCGCCCGACCTAATTTTTTCTATTTTTAGTAGAGATGGGGTTTCACCATGTTGGCCAGGCTGGTCTCAAACTCCTGACCTCATAATTTGCTGGCCTCCCAAAGTGCTGGGATTGCAGACGTCAGCCGCTGCACCCGGTCTCCAAACTACTTTTCTGCACCCCTGAGAGCTTTATTTCTCACAGGGGTCACAGCCCGCAGGGCAGCCCCTCTGACAGGCGAGGAAGCACAGCCTCAGGCCGGAAGTCTAAACATGGAGGGAGCAGCAGAGGGAACGGGAGTCGTGCTGCAGGAGACGCTAAATGTAGATGTTCAACCAGCTCCAGGAGGAGTCGTGAATATTTATGAGAGGTGAAGCAGGCACCGTGCAGCTGAGCCAATTCTCCACGGACTGCCCAGAACCATTCTGTGACCTCTTCTACTGCCAAAATCAGGGGTCTGAGCCTTACCCCGCATGGCTGACGGCTCGGGGTCAGGGTTTCTCTGGGATCCCCTCGGCCGGAAGGTGCGTTCAGTTGGGGTTCATCCCTCAGACAAAACCCATGGCGACCTCCCGTCATCACCCCTTGAATGAGACCCAAGCCCTTCACCACGGCCTTCAAGGCACTGTGGTCCGGTGGGCCCCCTCCTGCTCCTCGGGGTGGCTCTCCACCCCCCACCGCCCCACCGTTCTCACGCCGGCGTCCCCAGTCTCCTGGAGAAGCCATTTTCTCTACTCTGATGTCTTCTCAGAAGTCAGGTCCTGTTCTGGGGATACGCCCCTGCTCCCCCAGCCCCTCCCAAACTGACTAACGCCCAGCACCCTTCCCGGGTCAGCCCAAATGCTGCTTCCCGGAAGCTCTCCCCGGGCTGCCCTGGGTGCAGTGAGTCAGGCCTGCAGTTGCTGGGCCCGGCCGCCCCTAACACACCTCTGGGGTCTCTACTGGAGTATCCGGCTGATCGTGTTGCTGAGGTTGGCTCTCCTGATCACGCATCAACTCTGCTGATTTTGCTCCCGAACGCAGCGGCGGGCACTAGCACGCTGCCAGGCGTGTCAGGGGGGCTCCTCCATGTTTGGTGGGCACCCAGACGGCTTCCTGATAAAGTGCAGGATGTCAAGGAACACAGAGGGCAGTGGCAGCGTGGACGGAAGAGGGAAGGCACCCGGAGAGGGTATGCTGGGCCGGCCTGTGGTCTGTTTCACGGCGGTCAAGGAACAGCAGCCTGCAGTGTGCTCCAGAGGACTCCAGGGAAGGGGCCTGGCTGACGTCCCCCCCATCAGTGTGTATCCCCCCTCATCTTTCATAAAGGATCCCTCTTGGGTTAGAGCCCCTTAAGTTTCACACCATCCATGACCTGGTCACCAAACGACTCTCAACAAGCGTGGTCTCCTCCTGTCGTCTGGAACAATGCTCCCGGGATCTGGGAGGATCACAAGTCAAAAGGAAAGAGCAGAGGACGCTGGCTCTCATGGCAGGATGGTGTGTGCACAGGAAGCTGTGGGAGAGGAAATGGCCATGGGTGGGCTGGCTGCTCAAAGGAGACACGTGTGCCCCGGCCACCCCCTGGTTCCGTGCACGCTGGTCTTGGGCACCACGAGAATACAGGCACGAAGCCCCCGGTCCTGCCGAGGCACCAGCTGGTCAGATGCAGCGTCTGTCCCGGGCACCTCTCACTGTCTGTGCAAGGCCTGCCAGGCCAAGCTCCGGTGCTGAGGTTACAGCAGGAGGCAGGGCGGGAGGTGTGTTGGGCAGATCTTTAAAATGGCACCTTTCAAGTCCTGGGCGATGGCTCACGCCTGTAACCCCAGCACTTTGGGAGGCCGAGGCTAGCAGATCACCTGAGGTTGGGAGTTTGAGACCAGCCTGACCAACATGGAGAAACCTGTCTCTACTAAAAATACAAACTTAGCTGGGTATGGTGGCACATGCCTGTAATCCCAGCTACTAGGGAGGCTGAGGCAGGAGAATCGCTTGAACCCAGGAGACGGAGGTTGCTGTGAGCTGAGATCGCTCCATTGCACTCCAGCCTGGGCAACAAGAGTGAAACTCCACTCAAAAAAAAAAAAAAGCACCTTTCCCATGGGTCCTTTCCCTAATTAACCAGCTCCCTGATGGGATGGGATGGGGAGGGGCAGGAGGGCAAAGGGCGGAGGGCACAGATTACCATCTTTCGGGAGCATGACCGCGGTCTTGGAAAGCTCCAGAATGTCACACGTGTCCATGAATTCCTTCAGACTCTGGAAGCTGGAAACATTCTGTCTGTCTGCAGTTGGGGATCAGGGTCACATCAGCAACGGTAGCTCTGGCCGCTTGAGAGTCTGACCCCCATCCCTACCCCAGGAGCTGCTGAAAGGTCCTTGGCGCTTAAGCCAGGCAACAGGGGGTCGGCCAGGGAAGGACAGCAGCTGCTGGACCCCTCCTCACCGTCACTCACAGGGCCACCAGGCTCGGGACGTCACCTGGGGAGCCCTCTCTGCTTGCATAGTCCCCTCCGGCCAGCCCCTCAGCTGGGCCCGGGCGTCCTGCACCCTGAACATGTCCCACCTCACCTGAGACCCCAGGAGCCCACCTCCCTGCTACTCTTTCCAACGGAGCAGGCCACTCCTTTCCCTGTACCCGGAGTGGCCGGCGCCTGGAATTGGGTCCGTGCCCTTTAACCCACACGGGGTCACTTCTTCCATACCCCTGCATCCCGGCAGACCCCTACCTGGGACCCCTCTCACGCCTCCGCATCCCATTGCGTCCCTCACCCATAAGACTGCACCTGCACCCACCACCATCCTGGTGGCCTCCATGCCACTCCACTGCCCCTGCCCTGCCCACCACCCTAACCAGCCTCTCCCTGCCCGCCTCACCCGCTAGGTGGTACCCAGCCTGTGTGCCCAGTGCCTCTGCCCTGCCCACCACCCTAACCAGCCCTCTCCCTGCCCGCCTTACCCCCTGGGTCCTGCCCAGCCTGTGTGCCCAGTGCCCCTCATCCCTCCCTCTGCACCCCCTCCACCGCCCGTCCTCTGCCATCCGCTGTGCCCGCTCACCGAAGAGCAGCAAGTTCTTGTAGTTCCGGGCTGCGCGCCCCAGGCGGAGGTAGACCAGGCCGTAGCTGTAGTCAGTGGACAGCACGTGGAAGCCCTTCACCCCTTTCACTGAAAGAGAAGCCCGGAGCTGCCCGCTGGTTCCTGGATGGCGTGGCCATGCCCGCCCTCAGCCCTGACCCTGGTGTCCGAGGCCTCGGCTCCCCCAGCCGGGTGCAGGTGTCCAGAAGGAACTGAGTGCCCTCCCGGGGCCTCCCATCCCAGGCCAGGCCGTCCCACACATATGTGTGGGCTCTGGGAACAGCCAGCCTGATGCCTGCTGGCCGTGTGCTCTCAGGGGCCAGGGGCCTGCTCAAGGCACAGGGGACAGAGCATCTCAGGCAGCTCCTCCGGGGCCCAGATCCCGGGCACACTGCCCTTCCATCCTCCTCAGCCCGCCGAGTACGCACAGGTGTTCCTGAACACCGGCTTCTTCCCGTCTTTCCTCAGGGTCACCTCCTGGGACTGGCACCCCTTTGACCTGGGGGCAAAGCAGGGCTGCAGGCTGCGGACCAGGGAACCCCCTCCTCCCGCCCAAGGCAGTGGACCCCTCTAACACCTCCCAGTCCTGCCTTCGCTCCCGTGGGGCCTGGGGAGAGGTTGGGGGCCAGGTCCCCAGTTTTTTGCTTCACTATCCAGTTCGTTTGAGGATTTTCCAATTCAGATCATGGCCTGTCCCTCAGCATGGGAGACACTCCAAACACCCACGGCTGTGGGATGGCCCCAGGGCTGCAGGCGGCTTCCTCTGAGTTGAGCGGGAGGAAGTGGGGATGGTCCCTGTGTAACTTCCAGATGGACAGGCCCCTCCTGGAGTCCTCTCCAGCCCTCAGGAAGCTCCCTCCTCCTAGAAGGGGAGACCCTTGCCTGGGGGGTGCTGCCCACTCACCGGCTGAAGGCGAAGAGCACCCGGAGCTGGCCCACTCTGTGCACCCTCACCACGGATGCCCCCAGCTTCCTCTTGTCCCTGGCCGGCAAGAATCCCTGGGCATCAGTGGCAGTGGCCAGAATGTACCAGAATCCTGAAAACTGCGCAGCGACTGTGTGGGCGGGGACCGGAGCTGCCCCCGGGGGCTGCCGCCACCGCCGAGGGTCCCAGCTACAGAACCCAGGAAACAAGGGACCCGTCTGTGAGTCTGAGCCCCAACCCTGCCGGGTGAGGCTTCGGTCCCGGCCACCCAAGCCCTGGCCACCGGAGCAGGGCTGAAGAGAAGCACAGGACCTCGGGCAGCACAGGGCTGGGCAGTGGGCACTAGCAGGTGGGAGGGCCCCTACCTCAGAGGCCCCAGCTCCTTTCCACGTGGATTCCTGGGGGTCGGGTACTGCTCGGCCACTTCTCTTCCCGCCGGCCCCCGCCCCCAACTCTGCTTGCTGCTAACCCCTGCATCCTGAGCACCGCTGTGCCAATAAATGCTGCTCCTCAGCTCACTCAGCAGGGTGCCCGGGCCAGCTTGCTCCACACCCACCTTGCCCTCTGCCTCTGCCCTCTAGGTGTCTCACAGCTCCTTGGCCACAGCTCTCTGGGCCCCTCCACCCTGACCCCTCCTCAAGGCTCCCTGCCTTTCTGCAGCAGGTATCGGGGCCCCGTGCTGGAGGCTGCCGTGGAGAGACCAGGTGGGCAGCCCCGCGCCTGAGCAACTGCCGGGAGACTCTGCAGGAGCCTGTTCCAGCTCCAGGGCTCAGCGCCCACCTCAGGGGCCAGCAGCGCATGGCTCACCTTGTCCCAGTTGAGGGTGTGGGACTCCCTGGGGTGCCCCTCCTGCACCTGGGACCCCGAAGCTGGCACCAGCACCAGCACCAGCACCAGCAGCCCCGGCCTCATTCTCACTTCCTCCCTCAGCCACCAAGGCCAGTGTTTAAACCTCCCCGGAGCCGCCAGCCTGGGTCAGGAGGGGGTGTGGGGACAGCAGGTGTGGCCTTGAGCTCTGCTACCCTCTCCCGGCCTAGGGACCGCCCCCAGGCACTCAGGTGCAGCCCACACAACCCCGCCCCGTGGGCACTGCTGGCCTGGGCTGCCCTGGAAGACAGAGGCCTCTCTGAGGCCCCAGGACCTTCCTGCCCTCAGCGCCCGGCCTGGGGTCACTGTGTGTGCCCCTGAGACTCACTAAGCCCTGACCCTCATCCCAGACCTCCCAGGTGACAGGCAAAGTGCTGGGTGTGGCTCTTCTGGGGCAGATGTGCATGTGGGGAGCACCCCACGGTGGCCACAGATACAGACCCCGCCGCCTGCTTGAGGCTCTGGCACCACAAGCGCCTGAGAGGTACCAAAGGCCAGGCCGGGGCTCTGTGCCCGTGCCCATGCCCGTGAGCGTGTGCATGTGCAGGTGTGAGTGTGTGCTCACATGTTCAGGCACGCGCATGCCCAGCCTGGAGGGTCCAAGCACCTGTGTGTGCCTCACCTCACCCCAGCATGACCCCGCCTCCAGCCCCAGGGCCCCCACAGCCTGTGCTTCCCCCAGGACGGCGGGCAGCCCCCACACCCATCAGAACACAGGAGCACCTGCGGCCTCAGGTGTCTGGGGACCCTGTCCCTGCCTAGGCAACAGCCACAACCCCAGGCCAGAGAGGGCCGAGCCTGAGGGGTCAGGGGCCCCTCTGAGCCCCGCCAGATGTCTCTCTCTTGTCCTAGGTGACCCGGGGTGCCCGTGGCACCCAGCCGTGGTCCTGGTGCACATCACTGCCGGCTTCCTCCCAGGCTGTGTCCCCGACCAGCCCCAGCTCCGAGCCAGGGCCTGAGTTTGGGTGTCGGAAGGCCCAGAGGGGCTCTGGCAAGGGACTGGGTAACTGGGTCGGGCACACGTCTTCTCCACAGCTGGCTCTGGTTCTGTGGCTTAGCCCTGGGTGATGACCCCCTGCTATCCTCCCCCCAGTTCCCCGTCGGGCCCCCAGTCAAGAGCATCCCCGGTTTGCTGTGGAATTGCTTTATTCTGAGCTGGAGCTGAGCCCTGGGGGCTGCTGAGGGAGGTGGGTGGACCCTGGCCAAGGTCACAGGACCCTGCGGGCACTGTTCCTGCTGGGAACGCAGCGCTCACTGAAAACCAAGGTGAGTGTGAGGGTCGTAGCCCACCAGGGAGGCACCCTCCCCACCCTCAGCTGCCTTAGAGGCAGCGGAGCCACAAACCCGTGGGCTTAGGCAGAGGGTCCTCCTGCCCCCCACCCCAAGGGAGCCGAGGGTGAGGCTTGGGACGGCGGCTTACCGGGAGGATCCTGCGAGCGCAGGTGACTAGAAGGGGAGGCAAGGCTGGCGGTGAGAAAGGCTGAGGCCCGCAGCACCCCGGGGCCCACAAGACTCAGCTGCCCTGGGGACCGGCCCCCGGGCCTGACTTTGGGCAGGGGCAGTTGAAGACCCCTCAGCCTGCCTGACTTCCTGAGAGCAGCTGAGTTGGGCAGAACCCCAGGGTTTGTGCCACCCCAGCATGCCCCGTGGGCACCAGATCTTGCCCCGTGCCTCCCCTGTGGCTGCTCTGGTGAACTCACGGTCCTTCTGCAGCTGGGCCTGCTGCTGTGACGGGAAGCCCAGGCCCCTGCTCCACTTGGTGAAGAGCCCCATGGCCTCCTGGCTAGCCGTCTCCGTCCGACCTAGGGGTGCCAGGGCAGTGCAGGGGAAAGCAAGCTCTGAGAGCCAGGGAGGGGCCGGGGAGGAGGCCACCTGCCAAGGGATGCTGGCCCCATCCAAGGCCACTTGCAGTGCAGCCAGCCTCAAGGTGGGGGAGCTCGGCCTGCATGTGGCCCCCACAGCCCAGTCACCAGTTTCCCATGTGGCCCCCACATGGGGCACTCACCACACACCTCCCTCATGGCCCCCCTCAGCACACAGCTCCCCCTGTACCCCCTCAGCACACAGCTCCCCCTGCGCCCCCTCAGCACACAGCTCCCCCCACGCCCCACCTCAGCACACAGCTCCCCCCACGGCCCCCACTCACTGTACAGCTGCACCGTGTTGAAGGGCTCGTCCCCAAACTCCAGCTGCGTGAAGACGATGGCGTAGTCTCTGAAGTTGGTGCCCAGCACCCGGAACTCCAGCACGCCTATTGCTGGGAAACAAACCCCCATGGCAGGGGAGGCAGCTGCAGATCCGTCCTTCCGGGGCTGCTGAGGGGGCGCAGGCCGCAGGCATGGAAGGGCCGACTCAAGTGAGAGCCCCCAACCCCAGGAGACCCCTCGAAGCACACCCAGAGCTCCCGAGCTCCGTCCCCCACCCCGGACCCCACCTGCTGCCAGCATGGAGGGACTTTCAGAGACTGATGGACGGACTGAGCACTGCCCCAGCCTGTTGCAGGCGTGAACGGAGCGGCAGGGTCACACCGGCCCAGCCCTGTCCCCGAGGACACCACTCAACAGGGGCCTCACCCTCTGCACTCACAGAGGCCCCAGGGACCTTGGCAGGGCCCCACGGGTGTCTGAGCCTGCTGGGAGGAAGGTGCACTCCCGTGTCCAGGGGCCTCTCTTCACCCTCAGGATGGGCACCAAACCCAAGACCAGAGCCTGGGAGTGGCGTCTGCCCCTCCTCCCCCGCGCCGTCCCTGCCCGCAGGGCGCCTGGGTACGCTGCAGGGAAGGAAGGCCTGGGCGAGGCCCCGTCAGACTCACAGGGGTTCTCAAACACCCATCCGGAGTTCCGCTTCAACAGCTCCGTGACACTCTGGCTGCACCCCTCCAGCCTGGAAAAGAAGGGGCCCGTCACCTACGCAGGGGCAGACCCCGAGCCCCGCGAGAGGAGGTCAGACTCGTCCAGACCAGGCCAGGCCGCGGGCAGCGAGGCCACAGCTTCCATCTTCTGCCAGATGCCCCGATGCCCAGACACCTGCCCTCGGAGAGTGAACAGCACGGGATCCTGAGAGGCCAACACGCCCGCTCACCTACCCAGAGCCCCTCGGCCCAGACCTCCGCCGGGGGTGCTGAACACAGCGGGAGACTTGGCGGACGGGGCGGGGGGGGGGTTCACCTGCGACTCAGGGGCAGGGGCCGTGCTCCCCGAGTGCTCAGTCCCCCGAGTGAGCAAACCCCAGCAAAGGCGCGGCTGCATTTGCCAACGAAGGAAGCGGAGGCTGAAGTCCACGCAGGAGAAACAGCAAGAGCTAGGAAAGCCAGGCTTGAGCTGCCCCTCAACCCAGACCCCCTGCGTCCCAGCTTGCCCTGAGGCCAAGCAGGCCTGGGGGTGCAGTGGGGCCCCTGCCCATCCCCTGGAGACGCAGGTGCAGGGGAGAGCGCCCTTGGGAGGAGGGCAGGCTCTCCCCTCCGGGCCCGTGCCTGGCTCAGTGGTTCAGGCCTGGGCTATGCAGCCAGCCTGCCAGTGCGTGGACGCCCACCCACCAGCCAGCAGCCCACTCTTCTGCGAAGGGATGCGGGCACTGATGCCTGCCCAGCGTGACGGCCCACAGCCTGGCTGCCCTGTAGGTGGCCCCTGGGTAGCACGGTCGCCCGCAGCCTGGCCCACCCCAGGCCTGCACGCTGCCACCCGCCACGCCTGTGGTCGCAAGGCCAGCCTGGCCAACATCATGAGCACACTGTTTGGGGACTGATGCCCTGAAAGAACCAGTGGTTCTCGGGCCCGAATGCATCACCCTCCTTCCAACAGAATCCCCGGAAAAGGTCCCTCAGAGAACAGGCTTCCCTGCTGTGATCCCGGCCTGCAGCCCAGATGACCCTGGCCGGGGACGCATCAAGGAGGCGGTCGGAGCGGTGCCTGGCCGAGGCGCAGAAGGCAGGAGTCCCACCGCAGGCCCCAGGGACACAGAGAAGCTGGGCAGGGGGCTGGTGGCTCCCCGCAGGGGCAGCAGGAGGAGTGAGGGGAGCGCAGAGGGGCCGTGGGAAGCCCCCAGGCCGCGGTGCAAAGTGTGTGCGGAGTCTGCCTGAGCCACAGGCCTGCCTGCGGGAAGGCCCCACAGGACACACTCCACTCGCCCCTGCTGAGAGGACCCGTCCCACTCTCCCCTGCTCAGAGGAACCGCCCCACTCACCCCTGCTGGGGACCCGCCCCACTCACCGCTGCTCAGAGGATGCTCCCCACTCACTTCTGCTGAGTACCTGCCCCACTCACCCCTGCTCAGAGGACACTCCCCACTCACTTCTGCTGAGGAGCCGCCCCACTCACCCCTGCTCAGAGGACCCGCCCCACTCACCCCTGCTCAGAGGACACTCCCCACTCACTTCTGCTGAGTACCCACCCCACTCACCCCTGCTCAGAGGACACTCCCCACTCACTTCTGCTGAGGACCTGCCCCGCTCGCCCTGCTCAGAGGACCCGCCCCACTCGCCCCTGCTCAGAGGACCCCCCCCCCACTCACCCCTGCTCAGAGGACAGCATTCGCAAGTTGTTTTCTGGAGTGAGGGTCACTACCACCCCCGCGACATTCTTCATGTCCTTCTCCACTGCAAAACTCTTTTCCCGGGAGGCCACAGCAAGCACGTACCAGGGCCCAAGAAGCTGCATTGAGGCCGCTCAGGTGAGGGCCACCAGCCTCCAGCCTCCCTCCAGCCTCCAATCCTCCCACCCTCCAGCCTTCCAGCCTTGCAGCCCCCAGCCCTCCTGGCCTGAGGCTCCTACCTTTGGGAGCTGCAGGGCCAGCCCATCCCATCCCCCACTGCCCATGCTGGTCTGGGCGGGTCTTAGGGGACCCAGAAGTTGTGTGGCCTTAAAGGAGGAACCGGCCCTCAAGGACCAGCATTCCCCACCCCCAGGAGACTGTACCTGCTTAGGGTCCAGTCTCCCCAACCACACAGCCTGGGCCCTGGGCACAGAGGCCGAAGCCAGCAGCACAGCCAGCAGCAGGCTGCCCATCCTCCCAGGCCCACACCACGCCACAGGCCCAGGATGTGCCGTCCCTCTGGCCCTGGAGACCCGTTTATATGGCTCTGAATGTCTCCGCGTGGGCGGCACTGACCGCCAGGAACCCTCCTGACCTCCCGCAAAGTTCCCCAGGGGGCACTGTGCAGTGGCGGCTCCGAGCCCAGATCATGCCAGCTGCACAGCCAGGAGAGGGCCTGGAGCCTGAGGATTCTCCATGCTGTGCTGGTCCCTGCCTCCTTCCACCAGAACATTCCAGAATGGGCATCCGAAACCCAGCTACACCACCTCCCCGCTTCCTAGGGACCCACGCTCTCCCTCACTGGGAAGAGGGACCCGGCTCTCCACTGCCAGGCCTGGTGGGAGGCCAAGGTCAAGTCCAAGGAGCGGTACAAGCAGGGCCGGAACAAGCATGTTTAGGAACTGCGGTCTTTGTTATCTTTTGTTCCAATCATTAAAAGTAAACAGTCCCTGAAAGCCTTTTTCAAAAGGCTCTGTTCCCTCCTGGCCCACCCACTATTCCGCTCTGTGGCCTGGCCTCCTGTCCCCGACAGCCAGCACCACCAGACCAGACTGTCCTGTTCCTTCCGCCCCTGCACCCCACATTCCGGACCCACTGCCTCCTGCCTTCCTTCCCTGGGACCCGGGCCTGCCGGTGCCTCCCAAGGCCCCTTGAGAGCTCTCCCAAGCCTGCACTTCCTGTCCTGGGGTCATCCCAGCCCCGCCCAGGAGCAGAGGATGGAGGCGCTCAGCAGGGTCTCCCTGAGCCCCTGAAGCCCGCTGGGAGGCAGCTGGGAGGCTCCCTCCCCCATGCGTGGCCGGCCCCCCTCGGGGATTCACTCCCACACACCCGCGCTCATTCAGCGGCAAGGGGGAAGGAGCATGCTGTGCTGTCCCTTGCCGTCCGTGCCACGGGGCTCCAGGCCCAGGGCCGTCAGCACTCGAAGGGCCTACACCGCCGCGCTGGCCGCCTACCCAGCTGCCTGCCCTGTACCCCACGAGGCTACTTGGGGGCCGGGCCTGCCAAGGCTGACCCGGGCGGTGGGACCACAAAAGGCACCAGCCACAGCCGTCACAAGCAGGAGCTACCCAGGGGCTCCGAACAGAACAAGAGGGTGGGACAGTTAGTCCTAGAGCCTTCGGGAGGGAGCCGTGGCCGGGCACAGGGGCTCACACCTGCAATCCCAGCGCTTTGGGAGGCTGAGGTGGGAGGATCGCTTGAGTCCAGGAGTTTGAGACCGACCTGGGCAATGTAGCAAGACTTGGTCTCTACAAATTAAATATTGGCTGAACATGATGGGGTGCTCCGCCAGTCCCAGCTTCCCGGGAGGCTGAGGCGGAGGACTGCTTGAGCCCCGGGAGGTCAAAGCTGCCGTGAGCTGTGATCGTCCCTCTCCACTCCAGCCTGGGTGACAGAGCAAGACCCCGTCTCCCAAATAAATTTAAACTGAAGCAAGAGGAAGCCATGCAGCAGGGGCCAGGCCTCTGAGACGGAAACACCGCCCGCCGTACCAGTGTCCTAAGGGCTGCCGGAGGCCGGTCAGTCAATAGAACCTTGCACACATGGCCGGGCGGCTGCTCACGCCTGGAATCCCAGCACCTTGGGAGACCAAGGTGGGCAGATGTCTTGAGCTCAGAAACTCGAGACCAGCCTGGGCAACATGATATGATGCCATCTCGACAAAAAATACAAAAAATTAGCGGGCGAGCTGGTGCACCACCTGTAGTCTCAGCTCAGAGGGCAGGATGGGAGATCACCTGAGCCAGGAAGTTGAGGCTGTCATGAGCTGAGACTGCGCCACTGGGCAGTCTCAGCCTGGGCGACACGAGAGAGACCTTGTCTCAAAAAAAAAAAAAAAAAAAAAAAAAAAAATTCATGGTAAGAGCGTGAGAAAAGAACCTCAAAAGGGTGGCCACGCCAGCTCTGTTTGCTGTCTTTTTTGTTTGTTCTTTTGAGACGGAGTCCTTGCTCTTGTCGCCCAGGCTCGTGTGCAAACGGCGCAATGTGCTGCCTTGATTCCAAAGTCAAAATGATACAAAAACATTTACTCACAAAATCTCACTTCATCCTGACTCTGTTCCAACTCCCCGCTCTGGCAGGGAACATAGTCTCATGAGACTCTGAGGTTTATCCTTCATGTACTCCTCCTCCTCCTCCTCCCCCTCCTCCCCTTCTCCCCCCTCCTCCCCCTTCTCCCCACATCCTCCTCCTCCTCCCCCCTCCTCCTCCTCCCCCCTCCTTCTTCTCCTCTCCCCCTCCTCCTCCTCCCCGTCCTCCTCCCCCCCTCCTCCCCCCTCCTCCTCTTCCCCCCCTCCTCCTCTTCCCCCCTCCTCCTCCCCCCTCCTCCTCCTCCTCCTCCCCCTCCTCTCCCTCCTACCTCCTTCTTCTTCTTCTTCTTCTTCGTCTTCTTCTTCTTCCTCCTCCTCTTCTTCTTCTGCTTCTTCTTCTTTTTTTGAGACAGAGTCTCACTCTGTCACCAGGCTGGAGTGCAGTGGCTTGATCTTGGCTCACTGCAACCTCCGCCTCCCAGGTTCAAGCGATTCCCCTGCCTCAGCCTCCCTAGTAGCTGGGACTACAGGCGCGCAGCCACCACACCTGGCTAATTTTTGTATTTTTAGTAGAGATGGGGCTTTTCACCATGTTGGCCAGGATGGATCTTGATCTCTTGACCTCATGATCCACCCAGCTGGGATTACAGGCGTGAGCCCCATGCCCAGCTTTCTTTGAGACGAAGTCTCACTCTGTCATCAGGCTGGAGTGCAGTGGCACCATCTCAGCTCACTGCAATCTTCGCCTCCTGGCTTCAAGTGATCTCCTGCCTCAGCTTCCTGAGTAACTGGGTTACTGGTGGTGTGCTACCACACCTGGCTAATTGTATTTTTAGTAGAGATAGGGTTTCGCCAGTTCATCACGCTGGTTTTGACTCCTGACCTCAAATGATCACCTGCTCAGTCTCCCAAAGTGCGGGATTACAGGTGTGAGCCACCACACCCAGCTCATTCTTCTGTTATTTATTTTATTATTTATATATTCATTTATTTTTGAGATGGAATCTTGCTCTGTCACCAGGCTGGAGTGCAGTGGCTCTATCTCAGCTCACTGCTCCCAGGTTCAAGCAATTATCCCAAAGTGGTGAGATTCAGGCATGAACCACTGTGCTGGCCTGGAACATTTTAAACATGATATTTTAAAAAATACTCAGAAATCGGGTGCGGTGGCTCATGCCTGTAATCCCAGCACTTTGGGAGAACGAGGCAGGCGGATCACGAGTCAAGAGATCGAGACCATCCTGGTCAACATGGTGAAAGCCATCTCTACTAAAATACAAAAAATTAGCTGGGCGTGGTGCCGCATGCCTGTAGTCCCAGCTACTTGGGAGAGGCAGGGGAGGCAGGAGATGCCTGAACCCAAGAGGCAGAGATTAGAGTGAGCCGAGATTGCACCACTGCACTCCGGCGTGGCGCTGGCAACAGAGTGAGACTCTGTCTCAAAAAATAAATAAATAAATAAATAAAATAAACTCAGAAAAAAAGTACTCTTGGATGAAAAGAAAAATGCAAACTGAAATTACAGAACTTCATTAATATAAGTATATAAAAACACTATGCAAAACAGGGATCATAGAAAAAATACCTTAAACATTTATACATTAAAAACAG